GGCACCTCTACGGGTGGGAGAATCTCTTTGTGAGGCTTTTTTAGCAAATATGCCACGGATCGGCACTGTTTGCTTCCCATGAGTACGTGACATCTCCTCTAGGCTTTAGGAGGAATATTTAAATACGCCGGGTGAAAACAAAGAACCTAGATAGGTCCTGTTTCGTCCCTGGAAAGATCAGAGAATGACGTTTCCAGAAGGAGTAGGGAATAGAAAAAAAGGAACAGAGTACCAGGTCGAGGATTGCAGAAAGTGAGTTGGGTATATGAGAATGAATGTCCGTAGTGCTCAGCCGCCCGGGTGGAGGTTATCTCAGCTTTCCAGGTCGGTGTCGCCGTATCAAAAAACACCAACTGCGTGGCTAGACCGGACGCATGTACGTGTTCTTATAACAAAATAAATACATACATACAAATTGATATTGATTCTAGTCTTCCATATGCACGCTGTACTTCTAATACATGCAAACATCCAGGCAGAGGCCAGGTATCAATTATTGTAATTAAATAAAAAGGGAAAGAAACAACTCAAAATAAAGAAAAAACGGACAGCCGAGTAAACTAGATAAATTAATATTGTAAAGTGGTGTTCAATAAGTCAGTGTACTAGCAGCTTAACACTGAGAACCCTTTTTTTTAACTCTTTTAAAGATTTCTCCATCATTCTGTGGAAGGTGTAAAGCTTGATTGATTAATTGCTAGCTAAGCGGACCATTTTATATAGGGTAACGTGACTCACCACCCAACGAACTCATCCACCCAACGAACTCCAAAAACCGCTCTATAAAGCCGTTAATTTTCAACTGTAGCACAACAATGCAAGAAGATATTAATATTATTTATTAAAGATTAAAACTATATGTAGAATACATCATATAAATATATATGATTAATTCAGAGAACGATTGCTTGGCCTAATAATCCGCCCGGAACGTGAAACTCGTGGTTTTGAAACGGTTGAATCGGATCGCGGCGTAGAAGGTTTCAGAGAAGGAATATCATTTGATTCCACTGGGGGGGCCTGCGTGCGGCACTTATTACCGCTTTTAGAAGGTTGTATAGAGCTTCTACGGTGTTTTGAGCCCACTGTTGATCTTCTTGTAGGCCTCTTTGAGGCCTCCGCGAGTGCCTTCTTTGCCAACTGTGCTTCATGATGTTTAGCAGCACGTTCTTCCTTCTCTTTTTGCAGTTGAAGCTTCTGTTCATCTCGCCGTTGCTTCTCTATACAACGTTTAGCTGCAGCTGCAGCTTTGGCCTCCTCACGGCGTTGAGCAGCTTCTAAACGTTCCTTCTCACGTTGTTCCTTCCGCTCCATGAGCTCTGCCTGCTTTTGCTCATGAAGAATCGCTCATTGAAGCTTCATATCCTCCTTGCGTGCCTGATCATCGATTTTCGCAGTTTCATTAGCATCTGCTTGCTCCCTCGCGGCCTGCACCTTTGTGGGAGAAAAGAATTGAGCAAGTGAGGGATTTGATAGATTAAGCAACCCCATACGCTTACCCCGTTTGCGTCGCCTTCTCTCATTATTTAGAGCAGTCTGAAGATTCTTATTCTCTATTAAGAGAACCTCTCTGTCCAGAGCAATATTCTCCCCAGCGCGGAGAATTTTTTTAATATCAACTGAAAGTCGGCGGTGACGTTGACTTGCCTGCTTTATCAGGCCTCGCAAAGCTCGTATAGATGTAGGTGTACGCTGCTGAAGCAGTTCCGGGGGTGTAAGTGGACGTGGTTGAATCTTTTTGAGAACGCGGGCAGGATCTATAGGATGTATGCCAGTGGCCATGAAGGCAGATTTGATATTTTCCGCAGTTGTAGAGATTTCCCATGCAGCACGAAATAATCGCCAAAAATCTCGCTTTGTAGTCCGAATAAAGCCATAGCCAGAACGTGTATAGGAATCTAGTTGATCTGAATATGCCTTTGCAAGTGGGCCAAATATTCCAACATCTAGCGGCTGTAAACGGTGTGTAGAGTGGGGAGGAAGAATAATAAGCAAAATTCGATTCTGATCCGCATAATCAATGAATGCCATATTTATATGAGATGAATGGCCATCTAATATAAGCAGGCGGTAATGATTTCTTGCTTTTTGCTTTGTATGAGGATCAAACACCTGTTTCAGCCAGGTTAACCCATATTCATCATTACTCCATCCATTTTCTGAAGCAGCGAAGTATGCCTGATTCTTTTTAGGATCAAAATCTTCAAGCCATGTATCTTGCATATCTCTTGATTCCCCATGGTAAATGAGTGGAGGTGGAATTGTAGTTCCATCTGCACAAATACCAGCAAGCAGAGAAATGAATTCTCTACTGCCATCCTGCACTGCTCCAATTGTATGCTTCCGTTTGAGAGCTTCTATTGAAACGATTCGCTTGAGGGTATGAAGGAGGCCAAGAAGAAAGTCTTTTTCATCAAAATTGTAGGTGTTCTGAGGTAGAATATTATACTGCTTGATTTTCTCCTGCAACTATTCATAGAAGTCAGCAAAAAGCTCATGGAATTGCACACGAAAAGAAGCAAAAAAACTGCAATTACAAGAGCAAAGAAGTGTTCAAAATAGTAGCTATTATCTGCCTGCTTTCTCTTTTGATCCAGAGCACGAAGATAGACGCTCTTGATCTTTGCTTTATGCCGCTCACAAAAGCAAGACACTCAGTTGATTTCTACTTGCATTTTGGTGATCTCAAATACAAAATTGCGCAGTATTTGAGGTGTCATAGGGAAGCCGCGATCGGATAACTGATTAATATGAAATAGGAGGTGTTGTTCTTCAGTATTTGTGAGATTCTGACAGTAGATTGATGTTGCCTCTGTTCTGGAGACCTGTTGACCTTTGAACCGCCGCATCAAGGTAACGCGATTGATTCCGAATTCCTTTGCAACCTCAGCATATTTAGGAATCAATTGTCGATTCAATTGAGCGATCGCTTGCTCTATAATTGCTTCGTTGGGTGGCATGGTGGGTGGTTGAAGTTGAAGAGTTGCAGGGATTCATGGAAAAAATACGAGTTCGTTGGGTGGTGAGTCACGTTAAGAGCGTTACACGAGACACGTGGTTGTCTCACACCCCCACTCCCTATAGAAATAGTACACACAGCTACATACAAAATTTGCCCTTCAAACAAGTATAGGTACATAAACAGCTGGAAAAAGTGTAATAATGAAAAAAAAAAAAAAAAAACCAGCAAAGAATTCCACCCATTTTATCCCCTCTATCCCTTCATCTTAATAATCTCCTTTCAATGTGTGTATTTCAACACTTCAAGCAGCTTAATTAACCCATCTGCTGCATTCTCAGCAGAAGAGACATATTGGATCAACATCTCATTCTTGCTGACAAGATTCTGAAGGATATGGAATCGGACTTCTATATGCTTGGAGCGGTGCAGAATCGCTTTGGAAGAGGATAACTCTATGGCAGACTTATTATCAGCATAGATTGTATAAGCAAGGCCATTAGCTGGGGCGGGGATTGGGTGATTGTCAGTGTTCAGATTATTGAAGTGGGAAGGCATGAAGCCAGCATTTTCTAGAAGTTCACATAAGTAGACAAGCTTGTAGGCAGCTTCAGAAGACGCAATATATTCAGTCTCAGTTGACAATTTGAAAACCTCTATTTGTCAGCATTTTCACCAGACGACGGGACCTCCCGTCATATAGATGATATAGCCGGTAGTTAATCCGGATCCTGGATCTCTACCAGCTCAATCAGCATCAGCATATACCACGGGTTCAATATCAATGTCTTTATGGAAGGTTATACCCTAATTAATTGAACCTTGTAAATATCGAAGTGTATATTTGAATGTGGCTCAATTCTTTAAAGTAGATTGAGTGCTGAATCACCTCAGAAAGCCTGCAGCAAAGCTAAGGTCAGAATATGTATTGATTGCAAGGTATTGTAAGAATTCAATATCTAACTGATAGAAATATAATGTAAATTCCACTGTGTAGATGATCAGTTCTTCATCATTATTTATGAAATCAATGTTCTTCTTCATAAAAGTGAATGTAGAGTGGCAGTCATTTATTAAAAATTTTTCCAGAAAATTCTTAATGAAAAGAGATTGAAACAATGTAAGCAAACTAGAATTTCTTTCAATCTTCATATTCAAATAGCAGTTTGAATCCCTCACATTCTTGATCTCATAATTGATTGCAATTTCAGCCTTGACTCAGTTCAGATCTTTGATTCTTGAGTTATATAGATGAACATCATTTACATATACAATCACATAAACCCTCTTTATATCATGAATGAATAGCTCAGCATTATAAAAACTGACATGAAAATTTGATTTCAATATTTTTCACAGTTTTTCATATTATAAAAGCACTGCTTATTTAAGACTATAAAGTCTCTGCATTAATTTATAAACAAGATAATCATGACCTTCACAGAAGTTTATAAACTGACTCATATATATTCATTTATCAATTAACAATTGAGCATTCAAAAATGCAGTCATCATATTGATTTGCAGAACATGTTATTTTTGAAATGCTAAAATTATCATGAAAGCTCAGAACATAGAGGTGGAAACAACACATGTAAAAATTTTTAAATAATTGATATTTTTTTATTGATAATTGCCATAGACCACTCAGCAGGCTTTATAATGAATGATTTATC